TGTCCAGAGATCGGGTCGTCGGGGCCCCTGCCTTCGACTGCTGCCCAATCCACTATGCACCGGCCCCTTACAGCTCCTCCTGCAGGTGGTGAGCCCACAGGAGGACGTCCCCACGTCACTCGTTCGGGCTAAGCCCGGCCGGGCCCCGTGGGGGGAGGCCCGGCCACCAGGCGCTCGCATTCGAGCCCCAACCCCGGGCCTGGCTCCAGGGTGGGGCCCTGGCTGCGCCATGCCGGGCGACGTCACGGGACTTGATCTTAGTCTGATCATAAGGGGCTTTTGAACCGCTTTTAGTCTGACCCGTCACCCAGGACCTGTTTGCCTTGGGAGACCCTACCAGGGACATATAGCCCCCGACAACATAGCTCCTAGGATCACTCGGGTACTCAAACCCCTCCACCACAATAAGGTGGCGGTTCAAGGAGGGGCTTTAAACTTATAAAATTGTAAAATTAAAACATTTATTTTAAACTTATAAAATTAAAATACTTTAAATTTATAAAATATTTTAATTTGCCTCTTAACAAATAAAATTTGTGTGCTTAAATAATTTAAACATGATGATTCTCGGCAGAAATTTGGTTTAATGTTGTATCATTTTTATTTTGTGCTTCTATCAGTCCTAACAAGCGTATTGATATATTCTTCCTCGTTGCGCCAGTATTGTTGTGTCTGAGTGACACCTAATGGTCAGACATAAAAACTACATTATTGGGCGGGGGGTGACGTCATATTCGGAAGCCGTATCGCCGCACTTCGTGTATTTTCGTGTTCTGCAGTGTCAGCCTCCGTCATAGGTCACATGGGTTATTTGGTCACGCTCCTCCTATGGACTCCTCCCCTGAACGGCAGAGGCGCCATTTTGTTTGTGATCACTGTGAACATTCAGCAAAAAAAAAATCACACCACGAGGACGACTTAAGGGTACGTGTATGGCGAGTAAAATGCACTATGATTTCAATATGCTGTTCTGTTTTGTTCAAATTTGTGTTATCTGTCGAGTGAAAGTAACGTTAGCTTAAATTAGCTAGAATCATGGCTCGATTAAATTTGGTAGCTAGGCCTCACAGTTAGCTAATTTTGCTTGTTGCACTTCGACGTCGTCAGGGCCTCACTTTAAATTTATCTGTTTATACTTGTCTGTAGAAACGCTACCTACAACATCAACATGAGTGGATGTCGTATTTTTATCGGCCGATTGAGCCCCTCGGCCAGAGAGAAGGACGTGGAAAGGTTCTTCAAAGGATACGGTCGCATCCGAGATATTGACCTAAAGAGAGGCTTTGGGTTTGTGGTGAGTCCTACATAGAACTGGGTCACAATAACTGTAATATGCTCAGACTATCACAAACTCATTCAAATATGGCAATTTATATTTCATTTTGCATCAACAGAATACTTTATAACGTCATATTTTAATCATTGACTGTTCTTTATGCAAAAGGTCCCACTCACATAGACATTAAGACAGTATTCAGACATAATTAGTTAAGTAACAATTTGTATTTATTTTGATAAACAAATCCTCGTAATTTTTACATAAATAATGCTAAGTATTTGAAGGCCCCGCTTCTCAAATATGATAATTTAATTATTTCTTTTCTCGTACTTGGCAGCAAACTGAATAATGTTGGTGTTTTGGTCGGAAAAAAACGACATCCTTGTGTTCTGGGAGATTTTTATAAGGCATTTTTAGTTGTTTTTTTTAACCCCCAAAGACATTTTTTAGACAATATTAAATGAGAAAATAATTGTTAATGGTTTACCTAGACTTGTTTCAGTGTGTATTTAACTTAAAAGTGTTGTTTTAATGTTTTTGGGCCTATAATCTATACTTAATAACTCACTGACAAAGTGAAAAATAATGTTAAGTTGTAAATAATGTGGTGTGTTTGTTTTGTTGAAGGAGTTTGATGACCCCAGGGATGCTGAAGATGCAGTGTATGAGCTTGATGGAAAAGAGTTGTGCAATGAAAGGTAGGAATCTCTGTTGTGCTAAATGTGACTAAACACAGTCGGTTTCCAAGATAAGTGGATTTCCAAAAACAAAAAATCTTTATAAACACAGGGTGACCATTGAGCATGCCCGGGTTCGTCTGCGAGGTGGCCGTGGCAGAGGTGGCAGCGGTGGTGGAGGAGGACGTTTCTCTGATCGCTATGGCCGCGGCTCCCAGAACAGTCGGAGGTGAATTATTTTATTTTTGTAGATAAATCGTTTTTAATATCATTTTAAAAATGAACAGGCCCATATACACATATATTGTGTAAATGGCTTGTTTAAACACTTTTGAAAGGTCAGATTATTGCAGCCCATTGCTATTTTATGTTCCCCCTTTAAAAACGTGTTTCTTTGTTTCAGTCGAAACCCTCCTCCGATGCGCACTGAGAACCGGCTGATTGTGGAGAATTTGTCCTCTCGTGTCAGCTGGCAGGTTAGTATTGCCACATTTTTAAGCACACCAAGCCTCGAAAGCTGAAACGCAACAAAATGTTATTACTTCCAACAGTCTGCCACCAACAACATACACATACAGTTCTAAAGGTTATGCTAATAAAACAAAATGGACTCTATATCTGAAATCAAATCAATAATAGACTTGGCTCGCTAATATTTATCAATAATCTAATATGAATAAGCCCAAATTGTTTTTTTTTTTTTTTTTTTTTTTTTTTTTTTTTTTTTTTTTTTTTTTTTCTTCAAAACCATTGCTCTTATTTATCTGCATTTCATGCAGTAAAGTAACAAATCAAAGAGCAGTAAAAGCAACAAAACAGTTAATTTGTTCCTGTATTCAAATTTTAACCAATTCTCCACCCCTTTATTTGCCAGCCTGACTGTTGTGTCATATGGAAGAGCTCGCTTATGGTGGAGTTAACCCCTTCTGGGTCCTTCTGTCTGGGTTGAGCCTGTGGTGTCAGCCAGTCTGTCCTACACCTAGTTGATGCCTGCTGGTCATGTGAGCGCTCGCTCCACACTAGAGGCACTGGCGGCCACTTCGCTCGTTTGCAACGCCTGCTGTGTGGTTGAGAGCGAGAGAAAGGAAACAGAGAGTTGGCAGAGAGAAAGGAGAGGAAAGAGCGAGAGTCGATGGTGGTGGCATATTGATCGATGGTTCGTTAATTTGAGGGGCTACGATCGATCGATATCCCCCCTCCCTTCCCCCCTCTGGTGTTCCCGCACATCGCGAGAGAGTGTGAATTCCTCCCAGGTGCCCATGGAAATAATCTGCCGTTATGGTGGGCTTGGAGAGCCTGCTGCCCACCCCAAAGGGTTTCGCTCTCAGGTAGTAGTTTCCTCTCTTCCACCCTGTTCACTCTCTTTATTGAGGCGGGGTGCCGAGACAAGGGCGGTCCCGGTGCGGAGCCCTGTGACCTCCTTCCCAAGGAAAATGGGGCTCTTGGTACCAAACGCTGCTCAGGCGGCGCCACTGCAGTTCACTTCAAGCAGATGGTGTTCATCTCTCTGTAGTTGTAATGAGCAGTGGGTCCAAGCATCTCAGAACTGTTGCAGACACCCAGCCTGTCCTTTTAGAAGTGGGTGATATTTAAACTGATGCATACTTTGTTCTAGGATTTGTACTTTTTTAGAAAAGACAAGTTGTTGAAAGACTGGCTGGTTGAATAGCTTCTGAGGTTCTTGGACTCGTCCTCGTCACCTGCATATTAGCCTGTGTAGTCCTCTCAGAGAATCTAACCATCTCTCTTTTGGGTGAATCAGTCTGTGCTTGTGTCCAGAGCCTCTCCCTTAGTTGACTTATGTTTGCATATGTAGGACCTGAAGGATTTCATGAGACAAGCTGGAGAAGTGACATTCGCAGACGCACATCGGCCCAAGCTCAATGAAGGGTAAGACCATTAACTGGCTAATGAATATTCCAGTATGAATCGTGTACTATGTCCACCACCAAGCTGACATTTAAGGAAAAATCACCACCCGGTTCATGACAAAAAGTCCAACTAAAGCTGTGATTAATAATGTTTTATCTGGTTTTTCTAGGGTTGTTGAGTTTGCCTCTTACAGTGACCTGAAAAATGCCATTGAGAAACTGTCTGGAAAGGAAATCAATGGCAGGAAAATCAAACTCATTGAAGCAGCCAAGAAGAGGTGACTTGTCTGGATTCACTAAAAGTAGTTCACATATTAGAGACATCAGTTAAATAATCGTTGCTTCACTAACTTTCCTTTTCTTTCTCAGGTCAAGAAGTCGATCCAGGTCTGAGAGCTCCTCTCGCTCACGCTCTCGTTCTCGTGGTCGCTCTCCATCTCGCTCCCCGAGACGCTCCCGCAGCCCCGCTAAGGCCCACGATCGTTCCCATTCCCGCTCCCGCAGCGGCTCTCCTGCTGGTGCTGCTTCGTCCCCGACTCCCAAATCAAAGGAGCCTCCCAAACGCTCTGCCAAGATGAGCAAGTCTGCCACGCCACCCTCCCCTCTGCCTGCTCAGAGAGCATCTGTCTCCCGGTCCCGGTCTCGTTCCCGTTCCCGCTCTCGTTCACCTTCTACCGACAGCCAGCGCTAAAAGGCTGTGTTGAATTTTAAGGGGAATCAACAGTAGAAACAGCAGCCTGGAGCTCACATGAAGCCAAGACAGGGTTTTCCTTGTGTCAGCTTTGGGTTTTTCTTTCTAAATTTTCTTTACTGTCCTTAAGTTTTAGTTGTTTTTTTTTTGTTTTTTTTTTTTTTGTTTTTTTACATTAAACACAGATACATTGTCAGGCAGCATCAGTGCTGAGTCAGATGTTTTATTTTCATTATTAGGTGTTTAAATTAACTTGAATTGAAGACAGCTGATTAGGATGTTTTTATGTTGTACCCCATTACTTGTCAGATATGGACCCTTATGTTTGCACCCATTTGGTTCTTCACCTCCTTTTGTTCTACATGGATGCAGGCCTGACGCTGCTCTTCTATCATTTCTTTTCACAGACCAAGTAAATCTTATTTGACCTGTGAAGTTGTTCATCTCTACACTGAATCTCCAAACTGAACAGGGACTCTTGTTTTTCAGCAGTGCTAGCTAGAATGCTTCTGCTAAGCTGTACGACCACTTTTTGTGAAATTTTGCTTTTCGATAGGAGAGTTTTCAACAGCTTTTCACCCTTCTGTCCATCCCTCAAAATTAAAACTTTTTAGTATTTGAAAATGTTTTTTGTTCTTAAAGCTCAAATTTAAACTGGCACTGACGGCTTCAGTACTGAGAACACTTCAGTACAGTTGAGCACATTGTGCCAGGAGTTAAACAGCTATACGTTAAAGTAATTTCATGAATCTGTTTCTTGCAGTGACTGTTAAAGATGCTCTGCCCTTTTGAGAATGAGATTCTCTTTAATTTGTGCGTTGCTTTCAGATTGCAGGTACTCTTGCATTGTTATGAGTGTTTCTCTTTTGGTTTAGGCATTTGTGTACCGACTTTTGTTTTACATAAGTGTATAAATCTAGTTCCAGGAATACCTGTTGGTACTGTGGCTGTGCTTCAGATGAACACGTAGACAAGAGTTTGGCAAATCCAATGTTTTTGTACATAAGGATTTTTATTTTCAGTGAAAAATGATAGATGTTTGTATGATACAGGAAAATTGTGGATTCAAAAGCATTTGAACTAAATCATGATTTTTGTGTTCACCTGTACTTTATAATGAAAACCCTACAAATAAATTTACAAGTTATCAACCAACAATTCAGGATATTCTTGAAGCAAATACTCGCCATATCAAAAATGCCTTAGTATAAAATGGCAGGCACATCTTTTCTGTTTCCAGTAGAGCTGATAGTGATGTGATGAGCACTTGTAATTTCATTGTATCCTGAATACAATGACAATAAAGGCATCTTATCTTATCTTGTGAGCGTCAGAGCTCTGTCCGGGTTGAATCAGGCTCCTTCAGGGTGTCTTCAGTTGTTGCAGGCTGGTATATGTCTGTAGGTTAGACAGGAAAGAGCAGTGAAGGACTGACGGGAATAGCCAGGGCCCTGACTTGGAGAGAGCCTTCAAATACCTTTTGTCTTTCTCAATTGTACATGTTCGTATTAAAGGTAGAGAATTATTAGGTGAGTAAAGTCATATCGGAGGCATTATTAGAGTGTCTTCCTGTATTAAGATCAACCAGCTGGACAGTGTATGTGGAACTGACTGAATAAACTACAGGTCCCATTTTCAGTTTTCTTTATATGCTTTTAATATTTTTTGGACAACAGGTCTTATGGCAGAGGAATAAACCTGTTAGTAGCATCGGTTCCTTGTTCATGGACAAGAAAAGCAGAACATCACCAGACGTGTACTTCAATGATTGATAATTGAAATGGTCAAGTTTTATTTTACTCGACTAATCACATAAATGCTTCTGGGTAATGTAACTGAACTCTATTTTTTGTTCTGTATTTTACCTGTTTTAACCCTTAGAAACACATCAGCCTCACCTTTCTCCTTTTGTGTAAACCTCTGGTAACACCTGAGCAGCACAATGAGCACCAGCGCTTCCATCAGCTGGAAGGACGCGTAGACTGTGGGGAATAGGAAGAGGGGGCCCATCACCGCTGGGGGAAAGCCTATCTTCAAGATGGTGATGCACAGCTGGATGTTCTGGCAGCCTGTTTCCACGGCAACAGTCCTCCGCTCCCTAAGGAGGTGGGCAGACTCGCTCATAAGTCATGAATACATAAAGAAAGACATCATATCCAGCGGGTGAGAACAAGGAGTAGGGTTCAGGGATGGTTTGTGTTACAGGCAGGTTAAGTCTGGGAAATAGTGTTGATTACTGTGGGACTCTGAAGATTTATGATGGCACGGCCTGGCGCCCTCCTCTGTGGGACCAAATAATGGGTAAACATCATTTAACTGGTATACTGAGCTTCCATACTCTCCCATTATGGGCACATTTAATTGTGTAGTGTTGACTGGCAGGGCTTACATTTGACCAAATATCCGCACCAGTGACTGAAAAGGAACCATTTATACTATTTACTTGACCAGTTTCAAGCTATTAATAGCGACAATCTTCCTCCACCAATTGACACTTTGCTAGCACTTAAATTCTTTAGCAAGAAACTGGTGGCTGCAGTTATAAATGTCACTATCAGTGTAACGTTCTTCTCACCATCAGCCTCCTTGTATGTAGATAAGGAGGTGGGCAGACTCGCTCATAAGTGAATCTAAATGAATGTTAATAAAATGTAAAGGCTGATCTGGAGATCAGTGTTTGTGTTATCACTGATGGCGATGTTGTTAAGAACACATTTTCCACAATCTGACAACACAAAAGTTGCCCTTTGTCTATTAACTGATCTATAAATATTGATAATTTGTTAACAATAATAAAGCCATCAGTTAGATCTTATAAATCCTTTATAAATGGTGCCTTAAAGTGGCTCCCAGATAACTCCTATCCTGCCTGACTTACGGTTGGTTGAGTTTGAAGAGTGAGGAGATGATGTATCCAAAGGCGTAGCCTATGAAGGGCATGACAGCGGCGATGACCATGAGTGGAGGAGACAACACGGTCAGGATGGAGCCTCCGATTCCAATGCTGGTGAGGCTGATGACCACCACCACAGAAATCCCCATGATAATGAGTCCTATCTGAGAACAGCAGTGCAGGAAACAAAGCAGACTGTAGACCTGACTTCTGTTTGGTATTATTATTATTTATTACTTTTACCATAAACCATAACATGTTTTGCTTGTTTTATTACTTAAATGATCACAATATTCCCAAAACGATATTCAATTGTAGATTTATGTATTTTTGTATTTATTAAATAGTTGATAAAAGCCAAGAGAGAGAGGAAACAAAGCTGTACTTGAACCAGGGACATTATGAGTAGAGTCATTCTGCTAACTGATTTATCAGCTTTTCTTTTTTTCCTTTCTTTTCTTTTCCCCTGTAAAGGTTTATTTGTTCCTCCCTTTCTTTCCTGGTAATCATTCATAGCAATCAATAGAGCAAACAGTGAGTCAACTCGCTCGTCTCATCTAAAGTCCATTTAAAATAAAAATAAGCAAAGTAATATATCAGCACAAAACTACATTAACAATATGACATTTATTTCGACAAATGGGAAGCCAACCTGTTTTTAGTGTGAACAAGTGTCACATTTTAGGATACACATATAGACACAGCTTAACAAACGTGTCTGTCGATGGCCTTGTCAGGTGAAAACAGTTGCCAAAGAATCTTGGAAACAAATCACGCAGATTCTGATCAGTGTGCAAACTATTGAAACAAACATGAACTGTGAAGCAATGCAGAGTTTGCCTTTATTTCTCAATATGCCTTTATGGCATTCACAAATTGTTTTGAACAGAAGCTAAGGAGACCTGCACAGAAAACCACTGCACAAAGGCACTCCTCAGAACATTCCTGACATATATGATGAAAAACTGTTTTGATCTTCACCGAGTAGATTGGATATCAAGCAAATTCAGAGACAGGAGGGTGCTCACAGCCTCTGGAGGGCAGGTACCTCAGGCAGAGAGGGAATATTTTATGTGCTGACATTTCACATCCACATTTATGAATAATGCCTCCCAACAGTTTCCCGTCAGGGTGGAAAACCCTTGGAAACAACACACGTTGCCAAAAGACGGTAAAAATGAAAAGATACTGACAGAGAGGTCAACAATGCATCTGTTAAGGATACACACACATATTATCATTATTATTATGTTTACACTTTTTTTCTCTCAAACTTATTTATCAGCTTTTCAGTTTATTTCTCCGACCTTCAGATCCTCATGTCTGTAAACTAACCTTTGTGATTAACTTGGCGTACTGTGGCCTGTAGTAGTTGATGAGGATGCCAACACCCGAGGGTATGAGGAGCATGACCAGTGCTATGATGATGTCAACATAGGGCACAACGTTGTGCAGGTTAGCAAAGCCCTGGCAGTAGAGGTAGATCAGAAGGGGCATCATGCCCAGAGCCAGCAAGGTGGAGCAGGCAGTCATCAAAATACTGAGGGGAACAGCAGGGAGGAGATTCATCAGCTGATGGTAAGAAATGTGTAGTGTAAGAGAGTGGAGCGTGGTGGCAGGTCGATGGGGTAATGGCAGGCAAACACCTACAGCTGCATAAAAATGGACTTGCCGACAGAAATCCACACAAGTTCAGAGGGTTTCATCAAGCTAGTGGTGGGGCTCGGCAAAGTTACAGGTATGTGCCAAAAAATTAGAATATCGAGGAAAAGTCCATTTATTTCAATAATTTGTTTCAAAAAGTGAAACTTGTATGTTATATTAGTTCACTGCACACAAAGTGAAATATTTCAAGCCTTTATTTGTTTCAATTTTGATGATTATGGATTAAAGACAAAAAAAACCC